GGACCCACTGGGAACTGGACTAGGACAAAGGGAAGGGTGCGCGAGGAAGTGTCAAAGGCGAGCACGTGACTGTTGGATGAAGTGGGCTGAGAATTGGAAACAGATGGAGAGGGAGCGTGAGCCAGGGAGGACTTGTCAGCTAAAGAGGCAGGGGAAGTACGAGGTAGGTTGGTGGCCAGCATGGAGGATGGAGATGATGCGATGTGGCATGGCGTGGCGTGGCGTGGCGTGAAGATAAGGAAGGGATCATGTGGAAAGGAAGGCTAGGAGAGGGATGGGCAATAATCAAGAGAGAAATAAGGTCAGTCGCATGGAGAGAAGGCGGTTGGCAGTCAGAAATGATAGGAGATGTGTTGCCATCACGCGAGCGGTTGACAAAGGTGGTTGACATGTCGCATGCAGGGAGAAGGGCGACAGCGCAAGTGTTAGGTGGGGAAAGAACAACTGGATTCGGAGAAGTGGCATGCTGACAGGGATAGCGATCAAGAGGGTTGACCCTTTGATGGAGAGATGGACGGCTTCAGTGGGGACGTGGGTCGCGGTTATTATGTTTCAGACTACAGTGGTCCACTCGTCCTGATCCACAGGGGATTGAGGAATATGGTCTAGCGCATAGACATGGCGGGGGAGGGAGCTGAGGCGGATCGCCATGCTACCAAAACCATGAAGAAACTGCCTTGCACCTCAAGTCAAAGAGAAGAAGGGATAGAAGAAGGGTTCAGAAACTCCACCAACAGTTGAATCAAACCCATAGGGAGGAATTCCACTAACTTATAGTGAATGGATACTAGAGAGCTGCAAGCTCCTGAAATGGAGCAGAACGTTTCAGGGGTCCAGGAATGGAGGGGATATCGAAAGCTCGGAGCCATAACCTTTGGGCCTTACATGATCTGAGCTCTTGAGCCAAGGGAAAAGGGAGAGGGTCACTCCACAGAAGGGCGGAAACGTTGTGTCTGAGGCTGAAATGGCGCTCTGAGCAGAGGGAAAGAAGAAGAGAATACAGCCAGTCAGCTTTGGGCACATAGGTATGCTTCTCCCCAAACCTTTCATCCCCACCTTTCGATACCACATGCATCATCACGACAAGGGTACAAGGGGCCCACCAAAGTCGAGGAGAGTTTGCCTTTCAATGTAGATTCTAAATGGCCATGGATAAGGCAACTTCTTGCAAAGGGGGAATGGAGGAGGGATGGGGAGGGACCAAGGGTGAGGGGTTGTTGTGAACATGGTCTGAAAAAGGACAAGTGAGGGGGTGCTGCTGGGGAGGAACGAAGGGGTGCGAGGATGGAGTGGCGAAGGCGGGATTGATGAGGTTGGTGTAGGCTTCATAGAGGGGAGGGACGGAGACACTCGGGGAGCCTTGAGATGGAGCCATTTGAAGGCAAAGATAATCACTGGTTTGCCATTTTTGTTAGGATAATGATCTCATAGCCTTCGTCTTCCCTCATTTGCAAAAATCTATTCTCTATTCACAGTCGTTGCATCCCGACCACAATCCAGCATGTCCCAATCAAGATAGGCAGCGGATGACAGTTATCATGCCCCTGGACATGATTTGCTCATGGTGACTATGGAGGACTATCTTGACACTGTATTGTTGCCTCCCTGACGTGATATGCCCCAACCAATGAAACAAATGATTCGCTATAGGTGATGGTAGAGTGGCTATCTTGATGCTATATTGTTGCCTCCCCACTGGACATGATTCGCTATAAGTGATGGTAGAGTGGCTATCTTGATGCTATGTTGCTGTCTCCCATGCGCAATATGGCATGTCTCAATTGAGATAGGCAGTTTTATGCTTAGAGATCTAGTTGTCTCTTTTTATTACCCTAACAAGGTCAACCATCTCATCGTTCCTCTATATTGGTGTTTCACTTTCAAAAAAATCCTTAGTACTGAGAAACATAAAACGGAGTTTCTTAGGAATTTCTTTCACAGAGGAGAAAATTCTTATAGAGATGAGAAGTAGACATACAAAAAGGAAACTTCAGTTAATATCATGAATAACTACTTGTAAATTTGAAGAAAGAGTCGTGACTATCGAATATTATACTAATCTCTTGCATTAAGCTAGGATCACAAATAGGTGGGGCTTCTTGAAATCAAACTATTTGTTGGGAATGGAGAGGCATCAAGAGCTCTTCCTCTCCCATTAGAAAATATAGTTATTGGCTTCTCTTAAGAGACTTTTAGATGATCCATAGCTCAAGTAGGGTTCATTAGTAGACAAATTTGGGGACGAAATCGAGGAACTAGATCAAAGGCTCCCTACTCAAGGTTAGTCACTTTCTCCATGCCACCTGGCACTTTCCTTCCCATGTTACTTTCATACCAGGGGTGAAGGTTCATTCCCAGCAATGAATTTCTAAAGCTGACTTTCCTAATTAGTGGATATAAAATCATTAAGGGGTATTTCATCTAATAGCATCTAAGATTTTTCTAGGGAAAAAATCATCCTTCAATGATTATCTCAGTTAGTCCCAATGAGCTACCAAAGGAAATCATCACTCCCTAAGGTAGCTCTACAAGGTTATCTTATAAGGTTAGTTCATGGCTTCGTATCTTGCTCCTTCATAAAATTACTCAGGAGGACCACGTTTGCAAGTTTGGAAACAACAAGACATTCTCAATCAATGCATGAAGATAATTTAGACAAGTTCCGAGAAGCCACATGAATAGTTTCAAAATCAGTTGCAAACCATATGAAAAAAATTAGCAAATCAGAATAAATTCTTAGAACCATCACTAGATGGAAATTTCCTTTCAATCATCCTTCAACTTTGAGAATTAAGGAGGCTCCCTGGCAAGCCCATTGCGAGGAAACCATCAAATTGAACATGAATAGATGTTTCACAACCATGGTACTGACAAGGAGGAATTTTCAGATGTAGCTCCCATTTGGCACATGAAGAAAGTTATGTTTTATTCAATAATGGTCTTGAATAAAGATTGTCAAAGTTCATTGGTTTTCAAATATTTGGGTTGATCATCCCTAATATGTATGGATTAGTGTAATCTCCAAACCAACACAAATTGAAGATTCAAAAGGAAGCTATACCTAAGTACAAAAAGGGGCTTATAATAGTCACCCGTTTACAATGTTTTACAATGGGTAACCAAAATTAAAACCAAAAACCAGGGAAGACACTTTTGAAGCTACTAAGTGTGCCTGTGGTCCGTGACAAAAAAGGAGCGGGACCTGGAATTATCTTCCTCTTGCATTCTAGCTCCCTCCTTCGCCATGAGAAGCTATACCTAAGTATGGAGAAGCCAAACTCTTTCGCTTATATATTCTCTGTTCAATATTCATAGGCAAGCAAATCAGACTGCAGATAGAAGTTCTTGGTGAGGGACAATCAATATTCCATTGATTCATCTCTTCTCCTCAATGACTCATTAAATTACAACAAAATGGAATTATTGAGTAGTCACCTTCCCTTCAAATGATGAATTCCCTTAAATTAAAAGAATACTTTGGAATTCATAAGGATTTATTTGTCTATGTATCATTCCATAAAGGTGCAGATCCATGTTAGGCATATAGAAACTATTGTACAACAAATAACATCAAAAGTGTTGGTTTCAGAAGATGGAATGTCTACCGTTTTTTTCACCCAGATAACTAATTGGATTGTTGTGAGCAAAAAGAATAGGCCGTGCTTTCGAAGAAGAGTTATGTCACCGAGCTATTCAATTGGGAATAACAAGAGCATCTCTAAATACTCAAAGTTTTATATTAGATTTGAGTTTTCAAGGAACCACTCGGGTTTTAGTGAAAGCCACTCTCCAAGGTCGTATTGATTGGTTGAAAGGCCTAAAAGAGAAAGTTGTTCTGGGGGGATAATACTTGTTGTTACCGAATTCAAACGATTCGTTCAACACTCCAGGGAACACAACAACATTTCTTTGAAAATCAAAAAGAAATATTATAGGAAAGTTATTCAACATGCAGATGATCTTTGAAGGCCATAAAGAGCTGAATACAAGGTTTCCAGAACTAAGATGGTTTACACACCAAATTGCCTAAGACTAAGTTGCTTAGTGACTTAGTCATACAGGTTATAAAGCATAGATGTAATTGTTACTGTACAGAAGGCATCTAAAATGAGGACATAGAAAGGAAGGCAGAAAACATGCCCACAAATGCATACAGCTCAATGAGTTCACTGTATTTCTTAGAATGAACCATAATGCACCTATCTTAAAACCAACAAAATCTGTGCCAGGTCAATTATACCAATACTGCCATCTGACTTGAGTAGAATCACAATTTCCCACTTGTATTACCTTCAAATAGATTGTTTGATCCTCAACTTGTTTCAATTAGGTTGATATGTAATCGATCTCAACAATAAAAAAGAAAGGTGAACAAAAATCTAAAATAAATCTAAAATTGATAGGTAAGCCACAGACTGTACCTAGTGAGAAGAAGGAGAACTAAGGTTTATCCATGCATAGAGATGTTTCCAAATATCATGTTTGCATAAGCCATCAAAATTTGGAACCAACACCCTACAAACCAAGGTCCAAGGAAAATGCTAAACAAAGGCAGGAGCTTTTGTCATCAGTCATCCACAGAATCTGTAATTATTTACAAATGAAAAGGTAAATTTCCAGAAGATAAAATAATAAAATAAAAACTAATGAAATATTTTGTATAAGTTAGTTGAGGCATTAGTACAGAGTTCTTTGGTAGTTATAAAGGTCACATCATGACTGTACTTGTATCAAATCAGAAGGGATCCCAATTCCCTTCACACGAAGAGCAGTATACAACATGAAACTCTTGGAAGTAAGGCTAGTAGCTACATCCAAAATTCACAATGCAATATATCTTTAAGATTAGCAATAAGCAAAAAAGTACCAACCAAGAAAAGGGAAATGTTGAAGCTCTTTTATTCCTAAATATTCCTAGCTATGAAGTATTTATAGAATGGCAAGCATCACTTACAAGGGAAGTTTAATGAGTATCAGAAATCAACAAAATTTTCAAATACCTAGCACTTAAGAGAGATGAATCCCCTGCTGATATATGCCCTGCACTTGAAATATCCCATAAACCAGGCCATGAATCCTTACAATCAGCTCGCTTTTGTAGAAGCAATTCTTGAGTACTCTCCGCGAAAATCCAGACATGAACAGCTCGATGATAATGCCCATCTTTATGAATGAGACTCCTATCAATACAATGACAATAATTTATTAAAAGTAAACATTCCCAAGATGGATGACGAATAGATATCCATAAATGCAACCAAAATAAAAAAGAAGCGGATCACCTAGAGTGAGACTATAAGCCAAAGTATCGTTCAACATACTTCCCTATAACTATAAGAATAACAAAGAAGATTTGATTTCAATAAGCATGGGGCAATTCATAGAAGAATATGGGTCCATCTATGCCTATGGATATTAAGTTTAGTATTTCAAAGGAACCCAACTATAGAAGAAACAATTCAATTCTTGAAGTGGCTAAAAGGTAATACATCCAAACAATTCCAATCATCATCATCGTAAAACCCTTTCCCCAACTAATTGGGGTCGGCTACACAAATCCCAGTCCGCCATTCTGCTCTATTAAGGGCCATACCCTTAGTGAGGTTACCCAAACAATTCCTATAAACAAGCTTAATAACTTAATTTTAAAGACAATGCCTAGAAGGCACTAAAACAAACCGCACCTGATGTTAAAATATAACACAAAAAATAGAAATTCAAATTGTTATACGGTACACCGCTCCAAGATACACCTTTGGAGATAAAAATAGTAAATAATACAGTTACAAAGAATAATAATAACAATAATACGGTGAGAATGACAACAATCATCAATTCGCAAAAAACAAAGGCTAAAACACTTATTCGACAAGCATAACAAAATTTGCCTAAGACCATGCCTATCCAAATAGAATCAATTTATTAGCAAAAAAATGTTTTGAAAGGAGAAGAAAACTTGAAGGCATAAAGAAAAATTTTACTGGTACAAAGTTAACAAGCTTACAATAACACTAGAGAACTAACTAAAAATAATTTATCCAAAAAGACATTAAATGCACAATATAATGTACCTGCATGCTGGAATGAAAATGTTATAGGCAATACATCGTACATGCCATATTACCACAGCAAATACCCTATTCTCTGAGTTAAGCCTCAAGAGACTAGTTTCATAATTCCTAGGCCTCTAAATGGTAGTACAGCCGAAGAGTCGGAAAGAACAATAAGGAATTTAGAACACCTAGAGACCGGCATGTCTCATACTACAAAGAACTATAGGAGAATAAAAAGAATCCCCCATATGTAAAATAAGATATAAATTGGTTTCTATGATAGGCCATAGGACAAATGCCTCAGTCCAAATGTTCACCATAAAATCTATGCCTTCTTACGGTTGGCAAATTTCTTAAAATCTACATCAACAAGTTGCAGGAACTCCTTTGCTATGCTTTTTGCTTAGACTACTAAGCCTCTCCAACTTTAGTTAGATATGTGACTGTTAAGCAAGCTCCTTTATGTCTTTTGATAGTGGATGCACCCTATAAAGTAGTTTCTTGCCAAAAGGACTATCTAGACACTATGCGTGAAAAAATTTAACAACAAGAAACAGCAATTCAATTATCAAAAAACTTCTATTCTGCATTACATATCACAAGATCATCATTAGCAAGTACATCCACAAACTCAAGGGTAAAGATGACCAGTTACCCAGAACAACAGAAGAAGGATCATGCCGCATAATTAATTCCAGAAAAGGATGAAAAAAATTACACTTCGACATTTCAACCAGTCACAAAGATCAAGACGGACACTACCATTGCTGAGAGCCATATCCTTTTTATACCTTGGATAACTAACTCCATTATTAACTGGTTCATGTTTTAGGAGAACATAAACTGCAAGCCCAATGTCACATGCAAGAGACATTCACATACAAGAAACAAGCAACAATAATTACATTAACAGTTAAGGAACCGAACAAACAGGAGTTCAGATAGTCAGTACCGGGGTTTAAGTCAAAAAAATATATATAGAATCAGAAGAACGTCAATGCATCGTTTTGAAAGAGAAAACAAAGATCAACATATAGAGAGAGACCTAAGTAGAGATTGGCCGGTTCTCTCGCCATTGGCGGTGAGGACATCCAGGTATTCCTCTTCTTCTGTTCCATCCGCCATTGTTGCCTGGTTGCAGAGTGAGAGAGTTGAGCTTCTTGCCTGTATTATATTGGAGTGAAATTAAGAGTAGGAAACGTTTCAATTTGGTGCACAGAAAGGGAATGGGGCCGTATTACCACTCAGCTAATCTAATCCGTCCATTGTCGATGAGGGATGGCCGATATGCACTGTAAAGCAACCAATTGAACGGTGAATGGAGATATGATCTATCTTAACTTTCTGATGTGAAATAGTTGTCATGATTCCTGCGTTTTAGCATTCAGCTAATCCAAACCGTCCGTTTCAATGACTGATGGCCGATATGCACTGTAAAGCAACCAATTGAACGCTGGGTGGAGTTATGGTCTATATTAACTTACTGATGTGAAATAGTGCTCATGATTCCTTTTGCACACTGTTACTCGACTTGAAGTATGATGCTCTTTGGTGATAGAAAGGTGAAAACGTACAATGGCATATATTGGTGATGGCGTACCAAGTACAAAAGAAAATTGCACCAATACCATGCTCCTTCGGGAAAGTATACATGTCAACGGTTGGATTGGCTTTTGTCTCTAATAAGATGATTTCTTAACTTGGATCTATGGCGCTATTCATCTTTTGATTATTCCTAGATTTGTTTTTTTTTTTTTTTTAGTAAGTCGAAACGTGTCAGTGGGGAGTTGGGCCCCTGTCTTTTGGTGAAAATGGAATCGAAGATTTCATCATAGAGCTCGTTGGGACTACTGTCAAGGCTCCAGCCCATTCTAAAGACTTAATAGGTAATCCTATTACAAACCACAAACTAGACTTGTTATTAATTACAAACCATTAAACAAAACTTTAAAATAGATTAAGAATCCTATTCCTTGCAGACAAGACCTCATGACTAGAATTCAGGGGTATAAAGGTATTTTCAAATTTTGACATGAAATCTCAATTATGGTAAATCCAAATGAAAGAATAAGATAAATATAAAACAACTTTCATTATACCCTTGGCATATTATGAATGGAAAGTTATACTTTTTGGTTTAAAAAATGCTCCATCAGAATATTCAAAAAATTATGGAGGATATATTTACAAAATATAAATTTTTTATTATTGTATATATAGATGATGTGTTAATCTTCTCTAAATCTATAAATCAACATTAGAAACATCTATATCTTTTATCTAAAGCCGCAAAAATCAACAGACTTGTGATATCTGCCAAAAAAAATTAAAATTTTCAAACTGACATTACCTTCCTAGGAAATCGCATCAATCAAAGAAAAACAAAACCCGAGAATATTTTATCTATCTTTGAGTTTGGTATAGAAATTATAAAAAGAGATTCCAATTCTCTTTCTGACTGCTTAACCCGAGAATATTTCCATGAAAAAATTGACATACATATCATATCAAGGAACGCATCCCAACACTTCTACAGAAAGAAGATATGAAAGTCCTACAAACTTAGGCGAGTCTAAAAGGATTCAGTACGTGTATGAAAAGATTTCTATACCTAAAGTTATGCCTTTAGAAGAACCAGATATAAGTTAAGGATGATCTGCCCAAAATATTACAATAAAATATTTAGGATCTACCTACAAATTTCCCATCAAAACAATAGGGAAAATTGGTTTTTATTATAGGAGAATTCTTTTTTTTTTATTATAAGTTGCTTTATAAAAAATATTTATGATGCTAATAGGGAATTTTCTTATTCTCAACTTATTATACACAAAATTCTTAGTTATGAGGATTTTGGAATAAAACATTTTTATAACAAAAAATTCTCAGAAACCAACCCCTGCTAACTACAATGGTTTCAACAATTATTCTTATTTCGATTATTTAAACGCATGGGAAAACATTTTTTATATTCAAAATCCAAGATTCAGCCATACATGGTGGATTAACTTCTCTAATGAATTCAATAAGTATGTTCCAAATTAGTTTATTAATTTAGTGGGAAAACTTTGGTATGAACCTTAGAGGTCATGCCCCACAGTTAAACGAGTAATTATATTCCAGTGATTTTCCAGGCACTTCAAACATATTGTATTACATTATCCATAAACAAATTCCCTGGATAGTACGTTGGAAATATATTATTAAAAACATTAATGTACTCCTTTAGTAAAGTTCATTAAAGGTAGAGCCTATGAAAAATTAGATTTTAATAGAATTATTGAGGAAGACACCTTAAAAGAAGTCAATTCTTAGCTAAACAATGAAGACATGGATCCTTTTCCCCCTTCACTAGCAAAAACCATAGACTCTAAAATCAAGGAAGAGAAGAATGGGACTGACTAAACAAGACAAAAGAATGAAGATATTTGCTTTATTAAAAGCAGCCAAATATTATCTACTGTTCCGTCGTTGTAGCAATCGTTTCAGTAGTCATTGTAGCAATCAATATAGCTTTGTTACCCAACCAACTGTCCTCCACTCACACAATTCCTTCTTACCCAAGGAGGAGTTATCCCCTCGGCTATAAAAGGAGGAAGACTTCTCATGTGAGGGACATCCGAAGTTCGCCTGCTTCCTCGCTCCCTTGCTCTCATGTTATCTTCTTCTCATGCTCTTTTCAAAACACTCATAGTAAATACTCTGTAAAAAGTGTGTGCTTCGATTTGGCTTTAAGTTGGTTTCACTTGTAAGGCTTAGAAGCTTATTTGTGAGAATATGGTGTTAACAAGTTCCGGTTTAATATATTAAAGTATGTATGTTATTTATGCTCTCTTATTTCTTCTATAATATAGGATTTATTTATGTTTTTATGATCCTGCTAAGAATAGTATCAGAGCCAAGTTATAGATTTAATAATTACTTTGTTTAGTTTTCAAATTTATTCATAACTTGATAAAATCTAGAAGAGACCAACTCATAAGCTTACTGAGGCCAACCTCTAAGCTAAAAAGTGATCAGTGATGTAGGAGCTTTTCATATCCTTTCAGTCAAAGATTAGCATTTCTTAGGGTTTTCTATGGCGCCTTTTATGCTAAGAATTTCTTAGCATAATAGGACGTAGTAAGATAAGTTAGGTAGACGCAATACTAGACTTATTAAAAAATGGATTATTTTGAAGAACTACCTAGAAGTAGTAATTTTGTTCATAACTTGGATAATATAACAAATTTAGAAGAAATATATATAGAAGATGATGAAGTAAGTTCGAACTGGAAATTACCTTTGGTAAAACCTGAAGCTATTTATAAGGTGGGAACTTTTAATTTCTTTGCTAAATGAACTATCCGAACAATTGAAAGATCTGAATCCTTATTGAATAATCAACTAACAATTTGGACAACAAGATTTTTCAACACTATAAAGAAAATTTTAACTATATTCATATTGGACTATTTCAAGTTGCCTTAGTCCTTCTCACTAGAATTGGTATTAATGCTTATGTCCTGATTTATGTTCAAGACAAAAGATTTTTGAAGTTTAAATACTCTTTGTTAGGTTTAATTACAACAAGTCTATATAATGGACTTGCTTGGTTTAATTCTTACCCAAATTTTATTCCTTCCTTAAAAGATAAACACTTACTGAAAGCCTTTACTCTAACAGTCTGCACACAAGGCTTTGATATGTTAGAAGGATCCAAAAATATAGCTATTACATATAGAACCCATTTTTATGTTCTAAACACTTTTAATCCGCAAAATAGGACTATTGAATCTGCTGGATATATTACCCTTTTTGAAACCAATATAAAAAATAAAACTACGGCTCTCAAAAAACTAAAATTGAAAGACACTATATTATCGGAATCCTGGAGTCGTCAAGCTCGTTAAAATCTCAACAAAACTCTGAATTAGATACTGTAGTTGAATTATCAGAAGGAGAAGTAGAGATTACATTTGAAAATAAAAATTTTAATCAATTACCAATAAAAGAAAAATATAAGAAATCTAAAGAACTTCAAGTCTCTGGAATAAGCAATCCTTTATATTCCTCTTGTAACTCTTCCGGTAATATCAAAAGCATAAATGTTATTGTTGATTTTGAAATAAACAAAGAAGAAATAAGAAAATATTTATTTTCAATACAGAACTTAGAAAAAAGAAAATTATTTTTCAAAAACTATTCTAATAGAACTGAAAGAGATGAAATTCAAAAATTATTCTATGAATTTCTAGAAGACCTACAAACTCATATTCCATTCTTCGAATGCTACGAATATTGAACCAAATTAAATAAAGACTCTAATGAATCTATCAAGGACACGGTTTCTATGCAGCCAGCCCGCATAATGTAGAAATGCAGGCTTGGCAATAAATATGTTTTTTTTTAAATAATTTGATCCTAATATTTAGAGAATATATAATCTTTAACATGAAGATCATGAGTATGAAAAAAAAAAAAATTGAAAACTAGAAATAAGAATTATATTAAAAAAACATTTAGACAGTTAGTTATATTAGTTTTTAGATAGATGACCTATTTGCATCCATCTTTAAGATGGATGTTTTACACCACAGAACCGCATATTGTAGAAATGTGGTCCAGCCTGCATGAAACAATTTTTCATCTATCAATACTCTTGTTTCATACTCCAGAAAACAGACTATCAGTAAAGACGAAGAAATATATTCGATACATCTTCCCAATAAAAGTATAATTATGCCCAATTCCAATAATACTCTAGCTATTCCTTTTAGAAATACTTTTGGACCACTATCTGTCAAAGATATAATAGAACATCAAAGATATCATCGAAAATCAAAATTATAACAATCTTTACTCTCAGGCTATAGGCTCTCAAACTGAAAGAATAGTAAAATTCTAGAAAATATCCGAGATGAAATCAAACCTACAAAACAAATTATTTTTACTAGAAAAATATTTGTTCCAACAGACTGCTTCAAAAAATATTCCTAAATCAATTAAGCATCAACTATTTGGTACAAACCCTTAGTTATTTTAATTACTAATATTTCTGAAAAATCAAATTTAATAAGAGAAACTTTAAAAATTTCCACAGCTAAGCTGGATTCCTTAACTGATCAGTTAACTAAATTATTACTAAAACAAGTACTTGTTTTATTTGAACCAGACAACTATTCTGAATATTGAGAGAATTATTCTCTGCAAAATATATTGAAAATTCAGATTCTGACTTTTATGTTATAAAACCAGAATATTTTACTGAACCAAAACAAATACTCAACACTATGAATGTTACCAGAAATGTTAAAACAAAAAACTATTATGATTGTCCCTATCCAGTAGACATATAGTTTGAAGAAATTCCTGATGTTGTCACTCAAAATTTCTCAGGTGACTCCATTAATGAATGGAATATAGATAGTATGACTGAACATCAATTTATAAATACAATCCAAAATATGACTGTATGTCATTGCATTTTTTTAAGAAAAAACTCACATCATACCATAACAAACTAATAATTGCAGGATTTTCTGGCCAATTAGGAGGCTGGTGGTATAATATTTAAACCAAACTCAAAGAAACATGATTAATACTCATTGTAAAACTGATCAGAATAATCAAACAATAAAAAATGAAACAACTGGACTAGAAGAACAAGATGTTGTCGCTACTCTTCTTGTTACTAGAACCCATCATTTTGTAAGAAAAACAGAAGATATAAATGAGAAGAATAAAATGGGAAGACTTGAAAAATCTTGAAAATTGATGATCCAAAAATACATTAAAAAGATGGATTGTTTCCAAGATTTGGAATCCATGTCCATAGATCTTGATATTTAGATAATCAAATTGAAGATTTTTGGACATCAAAATAACTTTTTCTCTAGGATTTTTTAGGCGTGCCTTAACTTAATTTTTTTTTTTTTCTCATGTCCATGCATCTTGAGGTTGAGATGATCGATTTGAGGATATTTGGGCATTGAAATAACTTTTTCTTTTGGATTTTTTAGGTACACCTTAACTTAATTGTTTAGGACCTAGCTCTTACATGAACGTTTTCTATATAGGAAAAGTATATAAGGAGACCATTTATCTTTGGTACAAGGTAGTCAAAATTGTTCTTGATCGTTGGATGTGAAATAGGATGGCTAAATTATTCAATTGACCAAGTTGAAACTTAAAAAAAAAAAAATTCGAACTTTGTGACGCACCCAAGCTATCAGATTTCACATCGGATGGTAATAAATAATTGTGCCATCCTTGTAGCAAAGGTAAATAATCTCATTATATACACACATATTGGGAATGATTTCATGTAACTGTTGTATAGTAATATAATGAAACCACACTTGTAGAAACCCATGTTTGTAGCATTTGTATGACACCAGAAATTTGCACACCCTATCTTCATCCCAATAGTTAATTTTCAAAAATTAAAATTCAATTCATATTCTAAATATGGTTAAAATGAGTCCCCTCTAACAATAAATCTAGACCATTCATTTGGTGAATTTTAAGACAAGCATGTACAAACTCAAAACCGTTTTTTTCTTTTTCAACATTGTTCATCTAATAATAAAAAAGCTATCTAAAAATTTTGAAAAAGAAAGAAATCCTTCCAAGGCAAAAATTTGACAGTGAGTGCCTTTAAAATAATTACAAATAATTAAAATTACATGAATGCGTTCTTAATTGTCAAATTGTCAAATTGAAAAGGGTGCAGTTGGCATACGGATGCATCCGTAGGTGTAGAGGTAAGGTGCACCTTCAAATTTTAACATGGTATATAATTTTGATGTAAAATGTTCTTAGGATTATCTCAAAATCTATTTTTATATCTAATTATAAAATTTTAAATTTTAAAAGTAGTTAAAATCAAGTAGATCTATAAATATATGAAAATCTTGAAAATAGACAGTGTAGATAATATGTTATAAAATGTACTATTTCTGAGACTTAAAATCTTTTTACTTTTCATCGAGATGTTCAATCGAAGGGTTTTTAACACTAAAACAACCTTTTCCTATAGAATTTTGAGGGGCATCCATAGATCTACATTATAAAGTAGCATCCTTATATAACCTTTTTCCAAATTGAAAAAGGACACCGGATATAATTTAAAACGGAAGACCCTATTCCCGTGGAATCTCTCCCTTTTTTTTTTTTTCTGAGACTTGTGAACAAATGGCCCATGTTTGAAGATTCATCAGTGATTCAAACTGATTTTTGAGAAGATCTCCTTCGATTGCTGACTGGTTCCTCTACAAGTTATTAATAATTGGAGTCAAACTGATTTTAGAGAAGATCTTATTTGATTGCTTACTGATTCCTCCACAAATTATTATTAATTGGAGAGGACCATTAACGTTAGTGTAGAGGTATTTGAGAGAGAGAGAGAGGGGGTTTAAACTGTTAGAGCATATAGAGCGAGAGTTTGTGTGAGAGGTCTAGAGAGAGAACAGGAGCTAGAGAGCATGAGAGAGAGTAAGAGTATGCTACTGAAGGGTATGGAGGAGCGTTGATGGACAATAGGGGACAGGTAATCCCCAAATTAAAGCTTCTCGGCTTCCTTCCATTTTTAGATATTTTATCCGCCATTTTGCAGGACATTTTTCTTCTTTATTTTAGGTCTTTTGAGCCGCACAGTGAACCTGAATCTCCGGATCGACCATTACAGAGCGAGTGTTTTTCTTCCACAGGGTTTTGTAGCCAACACTAACATTGATCGGCAATTAAAGAGGGGAGGTTTCGTCCCATTTTCGATTATTTCAGCCATGAATTCTCTGCAACATTCTCTCCTTTCACTTTCTGGGCCTTCTCCCTCTGATCTACTGCGAAGCAGCTCTAACAGCTTCAGTGGCGTCGCCTTGATAACCCTTTCTCTGCAACATTATCGCCTTTCACTTTTGATGTAATGTTTGCTGGAGTATTTGGGTCAAGTTACTTTGATTTTGATTTTTGCATGAGAGAGAAGAGGAAGTAGGGGTTGGACCCTATAATTTATTCCCAAAAACACAACAGAGAGAAAGAGAGAGATTGGTTGTATGGTGTTTAAGCTCGAATTTTTTTCTCTATGATTTGGGGAAAAAATTTGATGTTAGAGAGAGAGAGAGAGAGTTCTCGCTGGAGGAGATGGAGTGACGAGAAAGGGCGGTAGGAAAGGAAGAACACGTAAAGTTTAGGGAGGGATCAACATTACTTACAAATTACCGTTTATAATTTCACAATAAGATATTTGAT